AGAAAAAAAAGAGAGAGATTGGGTCATCCCAAAGCCCCAGTGGATGATCCCATGGGTGAAGGCATGTGATAGTTGTGCTGAATGACAGTTTCAATTATGACTTTACACTTCACCAGAGTGTTTGCAATGGCTCAGGTATATTGGTAACTGTTTTTATGTGTTTTTTTTTCTATAAATACAAGGTTCTAAGATATCATTAGATGCATTCTTCCGCTACCTGCACATTTCTCATGAAATGATTTTGATGCTATCATAGATGCTCTTTCATTTGGTCGTTGGCATATAATTTTATTACTTTCTTACTAGCTGTGATGATACTGGTTTCTTTCTTGGAAGTACATCAATAAATTTATAAATTTGACTTGCACCTCCACGCAAAAAAGCACCCTGTAACTGATTAGCATGCAACATAATCATAGACATCAACTTCGTATTTCTTGCATTTGTGATAAAAGATCAAAAATATATAATCTGAATTACAATCTTCTTCCAAAACACTATTCTGTATATTAAACTCTATAGTTGGCTTCTTGCAAGTTGAAAAATTGGTTCAAATCATCACTAAGTCTTTGGTTGGTTTTGGGTTTTGTGGGGATCATTATATGTGTTTGATTGATCACTTTATTTCTTGTGTTTCTTCAACTTCAGTAGAATAATTAATGTCCCTAATGCTTTACATGAACAGGAAGAATCGCTTGCAGAAGTTCAAGCTTCCGGAACCGTTTCTTTGCATAGGTGGAATTTTGCAAATTGAGCTTTTTTTTAGGAAGGATTCAGAGACAAGAAATGGATGGCTTATTCTATATATGGTTTTGTTCCTACTCTTCTATGTTGGTTTGGTGACGTATAATATATGGTTTCTGCTTTTGAATGTGCTTTGTTGTAATGTTGCCAGCATCTCTCTATGTTCAGGATTATGGGCCGGACATTATCAACCTGCATTTGGTGTTGAAAATGCCTTGAACCCTCTGGAAAGTTTGTCTTAAAAGCCCAGAGTTACACACAACCAAGCTTACCCGAAAATGAACAATGTTCATTCCGAATGCATATTTTGGAGGGGCCGTGTGAGGGATCTAGAGCAAATTGTGAATTTGCTTGCGGGACAAGGCGTAGTTGTGGAATAATGATTTGGAAATGGAGGGGATGATTTACGATGAAGATTATGGCTCTCTAAGCCTGTCTCTAGAATAAAAATATACTACATTGCTGGTCCATCTGCTTTGGACTGAATTAACAAATTGGTGCATACTTTGATGAGCTTATACTTATGGAACAAGATGAGCAGCACCGTCTGATGAGATGGAAGATAACTGCTTATTGTTTTCTGTTCTGTTTTTTTTTTTTTTTTTTTTTTTTTTTTTTTTTTTTTTTTTTTTTTTTTATGGTATCACCGCACCATCTTTGCTTTAAGTCTTTTTTTTTTTTTTTTTTTTTTTTTTTTTTTTTTTTTTTTTTTTTTTATGGTATCACCCACCATCTTTGCTTTAGTCTCTGAATGTTTCATGTCTATATATCTACTGCTGTGGAAATTTGTTTATAGTTTTTACGGGTACTGTGGAACACTATGACATCAAGATGTAGAGAGGCAAGGCAAAGAGACTAGACATTACATTGTAATTCAATGTGTTTGAGCGGGTCAGTTGCCCTATCTATTTATATATTTTTAATGTATCACCTTTTAATAATATTAATCGAGCTTGGATATTCATAATAATTATAACATATCAGCTTTTAATAATTGTTAATTATTTTAAATATGATAAATTCTCATTTTAAAATGATAAAACTCTCTTCAGTTTTTCCTCCCAATAATCAATAGCTCCATTGATAGATTTGTTGTATCTATCAAATAATTAATATAATGTATTCATTTTTTTTTCAATAATTAATAGAACGTCAATTGCTAAACCAATAATAGGTAACTAGTCAACTATAGCTGCAATAAGAGAAAAAGTCAAATGGTTTGATTATTCATAAACTAAGAAAGAGTGATATCATGTTAAGGTCAAACGCTCGTACAATTGTAAATTTGGGGAGATTAAAATTTTTTGCTTTGTGAGAAAAATATAATGTTATAGTGTATAGTTATTGTTCTCCAAGAGCAAATACATACATATTCTCATGATTGACCTACCCAAGAATCTTTCTTCCAAAATGAATAAACATACAAGTGAATCGAGTTATTTACATCTTCCTAAATTATATTCATAACTGTAGCAAAATTCACCAACTAATTCAGAGAAATTTAGCAAAGAAAAACTAAAAAGACAATGAAGGTCTCCCACCTTTTACTTCCTAAAATTAGTTTCAAACCCATCATAACAATCACATTCCAAAAAAATATAGCAGTAACCGCAATTTTTCAATATGAAATGCGAATACATTATTATCATTGCGCATGAGCATAACGAACTGTGACAGTACAGGTGCTAAGTATTTGGTGTTAAATAGCAAGAAGCCTTGAAGGCACCTACAATATGGCAAATTGCTTCAAAGCTTTTTACACCATCAAGGATTTTATCTCACAAGTTCAAATAATTATTTAAAGGACAGAACTTCCTGAAAAGAACAGACTTCTATCTTTATAGGCTCTTGGCTTTTGGTCGTGATGGAAGCAACTGCAAAACAAAATGCAGAAACCATCAGTAAACAAAAATATTCCATCATCCAAAATTTTGGGGAACTTTAACGAGTGAAAGTCAGGTTAAAAAAACAAATCAATTTTTATATATAACACAATCAACATTTTCACGGCTATATATATTATTGTCACATTGACATTTCTTGTGTACCAGTGACAGGTGAGCATGCCAGACACCTCAGTACATATTAGGCACAAGAAACTGTACCTGATAGCAAGAGATCAAAGAGGTAACAAATCCAAAGGCTCCAGTTACACGTGGGGTAACTTTCTTTGGCGCTAACTGAAGTAGCCCAACTGCAACTACAATATCCATGGCTGCCTTAACAAGGGCGAGTGACCTCTCATTTGATTTTTGAAGTTTAGAACGGTATTGGTCATTCTGCATTAAAAGATAATAAAGCAATGAGAATAGAGTGCTGTATAGTAGCAACTGTAATGGTCAGTCTCGCAAAATATACATACTTGATGTTTATCGCTGTTCTTAAGCTCCTTCTCTAGCTTCTTGATTGATGCAGAAAGCCTTCCAAGCTCTCCAATCTGACAAAAACGATGGGACACTTCCATAAAAGAAACCACACATAACAAGGCAAAGACCACTCTTTTTCTTTTTTGGTTATTTCCTTATGAAAGGTTGAAGCAGCTTGGGTATGACGGAATATAACCAGTTGAGGTCAACTTTGCAGGAATGCAATGAAAAAAAGGGAAACTACAAACCTCAACCAAGGTAGTACAGACTGAAGACCCCATCCAACAGTAAAGAGAGATCCTACCAAGTAGCTCAGCACGTTCTTTGTTCTATCATAAAGGAGAAAATATTAAGAGTCGCCATATCCGACATAGAATATACACAAACCAAATATCAATGAGCATTCCATACCTTGTAGATACCCGATCTACCAAGCCAAACAATTTGATCAAGAAATAAGAAAGTCGACAATAATGCGTTTTTCGACTGCAAAAAGCAGCCAATTAATATTGTTACCAAGAAGTAGAAGAAAAAAATTATTTAGAAAGAAAAAATGATTCAGATTCCGTCAATACCTTTCCCAACAAAACAAGAGGCAGGGGAGTTCCTTGAGGGACTGGACTAATAAGAGCATGCAGATCATTGACAAACTGCAATTCAAAAAGATTAAGTGGCACAAACCATGCTAGAAAACAAATATAAAGCAAAAATTAATGTAATACCAGATTAGAAGGGTAAGATATAGAATGTTTAGATTCATTTCACAGCTTAGGAGACAAAAACAAATACTGGGAAGATCATCCATTCCACTCATTCTCACCAGGCAACAAACAGAGAATAACTGAGGAGAATATTCAATGTTCGTCGACTAATAGCAAAAGCTGTAATGCAACTTAAGAGATTATAAATCTAAATATCTAAATATAAAATTAAACCTGACCTTAAGAAGTCGGAAAACTTTGCGGGCCAAGCTGGTTGATTTGTCAACATTCTGGGCAGTACCAGGCTTTCCGTCGCTCAAGAATTTTGAACCATATTGAATAGCCCTGCATATCTTGTCTCTTGCCTCGGCTTTATTCAGATACAAAACTAACAAAGCAAGTTCTGCTCTTGTTGCATCCAATGTAGTCATTTTTTTCCTGATAAAACTGTGAAGTTAACATTTCTCCATTACATCTCAAGAAGAAGTAGCTGAGAATACCAAGAATAAAATATGAAACACCCTTGTTCACAACAAGACAAGTTGATCAACCAAACTCAAAAATATCAACTTAGAAAGAAGAAGTTGTGGACCCCCTATCTCCTGTAGTTTCTGAGGGGACTGTGGAAATATTGTAAACAAAAGTTTCTCCTCCAAACTTTTTGTGAAACTCAGCCAAACGAATCCATAAAATTTTGAAAAGTTACCTTCTTTACCAAATAGCTAATTTCGACTTTTTATGCCTAATTCAATTCAATTCAATTCTAAAGTTTTATAATTTTCTAGTTGGAAAGTGGCCAGGACGCACACCTAATCCTCGAAACACCAAATGTTACTGATTGTTTCTTAGCAACACTACCTAATAATAAGCAAAACTTGCCCAATTAAGCCAGATAGAAGGAGCGAAAAAGAGAAGGAAAGTACCCTGAAATCCAAAACTTACTAGCAGAAAGTTAAGGGACAGTGTGTTAAGGTGCTAAGACAGAATAAAAGACAAAACTAGATAGAGATTCGAGATCATGATTCATTCCATTGACCCAATAAGAGTGAATATCCAAGCCAGCTTACCCTATGGCTGATACAAATTTAACCCCATAAGATCCTATACGGATAATACCTACCCAAATTAAAAAAAAAAAAAATCAATTCTCTCTACTTCTCGTGTCAGCAAGGAACAAAATCCTGTTCCTGTCCATAGTACAGCATAAGTGAGAAAAACAACAAAGATTATAAGACTGATAAATAAATTAAAAAAAAAAACACACTTGGAAAACCCAATTCGAACGAGAGAAACAAAAGATACAAAAAACATAGCAATCATTCACAGAAAATCAAACAAACACCGTAACATGTACCTCAAAGAAGTAATCTAAGAGATTAGGATTCGCAAAATTCAACAGACGAACAGATATAGGAAGAGAAATTGACAGAAAGTTGCGTAGAAATACCGAATGGAGTGCCCGATGGATTTGGCCTCGAAAACCACAATACTTTGATATTTTTCTTTCACTTTCTCTCTCTTTCCAAAAAAAATATACGCACCCAAAAGATATTAGAGAAAGAGGAGGCAGCGTCAGCAATCTAGGTCTGTTTTTGCTTCTCCATACGATAGACCTCTGATAAGGGCTTGTTTGGCTCTCTCTTTTTCCAAGCTACACAACAAAAAGAGATTTATTTCTTTATCCAAAAGATGGGTTCGGTTTCGTATTGAAAGCCATCATTGACCATTGGTTATATGAATCGGGATCATCCATGGTCTAGACGCTATGATCTCTACCTTGGTTCAGATAGTTGATACGGAATCAAACGGCTGTAGGTAGCGATACAATGCGATCGGGTGCGTATACATGCAATTTAGAATTACTTTTTAGTACAGGCGGTTGCATCGAACGTATCCCAAGATTGCGTAGAAATGAACGGCTCTTCTTTCGTTCAAAAATGGTAGTTGTAAATTAGGATGTATAATCCGAATTTTGAACAGCTCACATCTGTACCCGAAACAGAAAATAATTAAATTTCTAAATTAAAATATAATAATCATTAATTGGACTTGATAGACCATAAAAAATAGATTGGGGACATATCTGTAAAAGTCCGAAACCATAAATGATCGTAGAGTCGTTGACTAAATAATATAACGAGAATAAATTTTAACGATGAAACTAATAAGAATATATAGTAATTTAGATCAAAATGCAGAGACTAAAAACTTAATTGTAGGAAAATAAACTATAATTATGGGATAAATATCATCAAATGACTTGACTATTCTAATACGCAATCACAATGCCCTATTGGTAGGAGATAGAGACGTATATACCCTTTCATTGTAAAATAAGGTAAAGAACGCATCCCCCGTTGGTGACGGCGGCGGTGGTGGTGCAGGGCATTCATTAAATGGTGATGGACACTTGATAAAAAAATACTAAAGAGTGGCGTTAGTGCTGTAACCAACAATATCTTGATGACGTCAGTTTCTTCAATCTCTGTTATGCAACCCTAACGGCACCGCATTTCATTTATTTGTTTTACAGGATTAGGTTGCAAAATTTTGAATTCACATTTCCCATGGCTTTATAAAATTATATAAATCATTGGGTTGTTGCAATTGCTGGATCATCCACTGGATGAACAAGTTTCTCTTCTAGTACAAATTAAGACGAGAGAGCACTCATCTTTACTAGCAACAAGTATTAATTAGGTATTAACAATACCAGAATAGTGAATACTGTAACAATCCTTGCCTGCATTAGAAGCTAAACCAATTCCTCTGTTTCAAGCATCTTGAGCAGCAATGCCTGAGAACTAGCATAAAGTTAGCTACTAATCATTCTCAACAAAACAGAGAAAAGAAGACACATAAGGAAAATCTTATATAACATTGATTGCATAGGTTGTTACACTTTCTGACTTGTTCATTGACTACCCCGTTTCATACAGAAAATGAAACACAGATTACATGAGGGAGAAAAATAACGACTTTATCATACAAAGAGCATAGCTACAAAGTTTTCTCATTTCCTGCTGAATAAACTAGTTAACTTGCCTCTTTCCAAACGCTGGAGCAGCTTTTTAGCCCCTGGGATGTCCATCTCAGTAAGCTTCTTGAGGTACCCAATTGCTCCATAGGAAATCATAAGCTTTTTGCATTTCTTACTTGAAGAAAGAGATGCTAAGCATGACACAGAATACTTCTTTGCAGTGTTTTGTGGATTCGGGTCAAGCAATTGCACCAAATTTGGCACACTTTTATCATTCTTTTTCACTTGTCTGCAATTCTGTGACAGGGTCATTAAACTTGAAATTGCTTGTGCTGAAACCTCTCTGACAATGTTTGATTTAGCCTCAAGCAATTTGATGAGAAGAGGAATGCATCCAGCTTCACCCACCAACTTTTTCATCTCCGATGAGCTGCAAACCCGACAAATTGCAGAAGCAGCAGCTGCTTGTGCACCTAGTGATCCAGATTTGAGGACATGAACTAAGCGAGGAAGAAGACCGAGAGACACCAACATTTCCATAGAAACTGAGGTAACCAAATTCCTTAACGCCCCAACTGCAGATTCTTGGGGCAATGGACCATCAAGATATGCCAATAGGCTTCGGATTCCACCTTCTGAAATAACAATCCTCCTTAGATTGTCATTGCTGGCAGTGAGATTCTGCAAGCATTCTGCTGCATATTCTTTAGATCCCAACAGAATTCCACAATCAACAAGGTTGATCATGACTTTTACAATCCCTTCTTCAGCTAGATTTTGTCTAACCTCAGGAACAACTGATATATTCTTCAAAGTACAAGCAGCTGCAGCCTGTGATACTGAATCACCATTTCGACAAATTTCAATCAATGGTCGAACTCCACCATGTCCAACAATTGCCCTGGCTGTTTCAGTTGTCATTGACAATCTCTGGAGAGAAATGGTAGCCTTCTCTTTACCAACTGTGCTACCTGACTCAACAAGTCTTATGAGAGGCGGCAAAACACCTTCCGAAACAAGCCAATTCTCACAACTTCCAGATTCTGCAAGCGAACATATGACAGTAACAGTCTTTTCCCGAATACGAGGAGAAGTTGCTGTTAACAACTGGACTAGAGCAGCAATATTACTCCGGCCTAAGACAGCCAAGACAGTCTTCTCATCCTCTTTCATTACATCAACAAGACTATCAAGAGCTTTATGCTTTGCTTCCAAGTGTCCGATCTGGAGCCGAGCAAGCAATTCTCTTATGTTGCTATGAATTGCAGCCTCAGGTTCCGAGGAAGAACCAGCTACAGCTAAAGGCAAAGTAGCTTCGCCAAGCACTCCTGTCTTTATCAGAACCCCACAATCTCTTAAATTCAAATCCAATTTACCTGATAATGCATCAAGATCACTTTGCATCCTTAGTTTCCCTTCATACTTGTCAATCGTACATAAATTTGCCAATTCAATTGCTTCTTTGAGTGTCTTTGACACAGCCTGCAATTGCTCGTTGCAAAGTGTATTCTTGGAAAAGCACGGGTGGCTTGACAAGTCTGATAAATGTGAAGGGATCTGCTCCAACTTGGAAATTATCATTTTCCATCGACCAGGAAACCCTTTAACCTCCTTTGCCGCAGCAAGTGTTAAAGGAACTAGCTCTTGCGCATGCGATAACCAGTCTTCCACTGATAGAATATCTCTTACAACTTCTTTTCCTCTATCTTCCACCATGATTTCTATATCTATATGATCTGAATCAGATTGATCACCAACTGAATTACAGAGACAAAAAGAACAATTCTCAATGCAATGGCCCAGAGGCAGATAATAAGAAAAGAGAAAGAAATGATACTATTTGCATAGAAAATTCAAAGGCAGTGGAGCAGTTGCAATCATCAAACATAAATTATAAACTAAAGGGTATTGGTTAATTGTTATTAAATAAAACAAAAACCAAAAAAAAAGTAAGGTAACATCAAGAGCTTCGAGAATATTGTATCATCACAGAGCTTCTTTCACTGAAAACAAGACCCGACCAACAAGATCAAAATGCCTATATAAAGATGCCCACACGAGTCATTTCCATAGCTTTTCCAAGTGATCATTAAATGCCAACCAAAATTAAAAAATATATATATATGCTTAACCTACAACAACTTTAAAATATTGTGGATCGAATCATGAGAAAGAACCAAAGAAGTTACTTTTAACTCACAGCCGTCCACAATAAACAACACCGTCAGCTAATAAGGTTATTGCAAATACCATAATACCCTTTTACCACAGGTATTTTGCTGATTGTTTAGGGTATCAGCGGAAGTGAAAAGAAAAATCTCTTCTACAACTTTACTTTTCAAGCGTGAAGAAGGTGGGAAATGGTATCAGATTTTTATCTTCTGGACTTTGGTAACATGATCCTGATCTATATCTAACGGTCAATAAATTTTGAAGAAAAAGCTGGATTCTTAGCTGTAATGCCAATTTTATCCTCATAAATAGAGGAAGGACAGGTTGTGAGAAAGAAGTAGAGAGACTTTCCTTTGAAGAGACGACAGAAGTCTCTATCAACAGTTGTACATAAATCGAGTGTATTTAAATTTATGAAGATGGAAGCGATGGACCAAACTCCACTTCAATATCATAATAAGACAATTCAATGCAGTAAATGCGAAAAATACCTCAAATTGCTTTGACTTCCCTCAACATTCAAAGCCCTTTGCCATTTGCTTCCCCTCGACTGTATATTCTGCTTCTATATATAATACAACAATTTTAAGAAAGTGAACATGAATATATCAGTAGAAACTCAGATATGAAGAGAACAAATAAAGTCGAAAAGCAAAGATAGACAAGAACAAAAAATAAAACTAAAGCTTCCTTTTTCAAGCGGGGATCATAAAAAGCAAGCAAAATCCACGTCAAGCACCAACCTTTAATCCTCAGGAACTAGAATTTGTCCTCTTCTCCAGAAAGCAACCCACATAGCTAGCTTGATCTTCAAATCTTTACACTTTCTCTCTCAATTGCAGCAACAAGTAGATGCTTTAAAGAATCAGTAACCCACTATAGCTTTGCCTTCAAACTTGAGTCTCACCCCAAGCTGGAATTCATTAATACCTCCAAAATCAGCAATCAATATCAGTTGGATCTTCAAAATTAAACGATCCAAAACAAGACTGTCTTCAGAATCAGAAGTGCCCAGGACTGTAGCTGCTCTTTTTTCGTATAAACAGAGAAGCAGACACAAAACGGTCCAAATCACTAGAGGAAAACAAATGAATTAAATAAGAACTCAAGCAGCTGAAGTTTGAAAACGCCCAACTAAACTATTCGAGCTTTAACTCTACCAGACACCCAGAGCATAATATAGTGAGGAGTCAAGTCACATTCAAAAATCAAACCTCTTCAAAACTGCCTTTCTCTCTCTAGAAGTCTCTCTCTCTCTCTCTCTCCTCTTCTTGCGTAGAAGAAAATGTGTCAGAGCTCCCTGTCTGCTGAGATTCTGTAAATATATGAAGATAAAAACGCATTATTTTTCTCTACTGTGATTTTTGGAGAGAGAAAAGATACAGCCTTTGGATAGAGAGAGAGCTCGAGTTTGGAACATAAAAGGCTTAAATGTCGAACATTATTGATGATCGTACGGCTATGATTGTGGGTGTGCAAAGGATTCGACCGTTGTGATGGGGTAAAATTTTGAATGTGCTTTTCGAACTATTAAGTTTACCGAGGAGCTGAGATGGCGAACTGGTTCCACGTGTGAGGTAGGGCAATAATTTCTCCTCCGTTTATGTGTCTTCATGGTCGACGTTGAGGCACGTGCTTGGTGGTACACAGTTATAACTTATAATAATTACATTTTTTCCACTGTTATTATTAATCCATTAATCCATAATCCCATTAATAAAGAAATGATCCTTTCGTAAAGGAAAAAAAAAAAAAAGAAAATGATTAATGTTGGTATTCATAATACAGTAGCAATCGCATTATTAATCGTATTTAATTATGAATTATAGCAAAATTTATTATGCTGATAATATTAGCCCATAACAGAAGATTTTATAAATCTTTCTATAGGTCCACACAGTAATTACAAAATCATGGTACATGCATTTTCATTTATTAAATAAATAGTTAAATTTTTTAATTATTCAAAAAAGAATTATAAAGTAAAGTTGGAAAAAAAAAAAAGTTAACCACAGGCAAAATTAAGAATTTTTGCATAAGTTCGATCTTTGAGTCAGTTTCAATTTTTTTTTATTCTGGAATTTTAGGTAAAAGCTTATTTTTTAAAACATCAGGTGGACCCCTTTTTTAATTATTTAATTATTATGTTCAAAAGTGTTAATTTTGTTATTTAAATATCATGTAATATTTGAATATTTGGCCATTTATGAATGAAATAATTTAATAAAATTAAAATTGAAACACGAATCAATAATTTTGCCAAATAATAAAGTAAAAATATAAAAATAAATTCGACCGAAATTCAGGAACTAAAATAATTAATTAGTCATGTTCCGTATGTATCTAAAGAATTAATAAAATAGTCCAATTATCAATTTAAAATAATTATTTAGGTATTTAAATACATGAAATAAATTGAGAGGGTGTAAAAGGAATTAGCACAACATTTTAATCCAAACCGTTGAGGGCAAAAAATTGATTAAAGACAGGTGATTACCTTGCTTAATTAAATTAATTGAATTTGAATCCCAAATGATAATCAGCAGTAATAAAATAATGATTAGATTCAAAATTTGAAATTTAGAAGAAGATGTAGAGACACGAGTTATAAAATAATGGTCAATCTTATTTTATTTATTTTGTTTGGTACAAGCATAGATGCAAATGCAATGATAGGTGAAATGTTTGCTCTGTAAAAAAAATATATTGTAAATATCACATTATTTATTTATTTATTTATTTTTCCTTATAAACGCACACAAATGAACGCTAGTAAGAATTTTTATTTAAAGTGAAACATTTTCAAAATTTTAATTAAATCTTAAAAAGATGTCGAAGATGCCCTTTTATCCATGGGTCACCGACAAGCTGCAATCCTTGTGGAAATTGGAAATCTACGACTTATGTTTGATACCTAGAAGATCACACTGCTTCTAATGTCAACTTAAGAACTGAATTCCAAACCGCTTTTTTTTCAGAATCAGATTCACCTTTTTTTTTTTTTTCCTACTGGGGAAAAAGCTTGGCTGTTACATAATAAGTTACGTTTCGCTGCAGTAAATAATTTTTTACTAATGTAATGAGATTGAAACGAGAATGAGCTTTTTTTTTTTTTTTTAACAGCTGGATAGAGGGTATAGAGCGTGAGTATCAAGACGCGTGGGTGACTTTTGGCTGCGTAACTAAAACGTGACGCCGTTATCTGTCGGCTCGGCTTTAAACAACTTTTCGGTTTTTGCACTATTTTTATTTGGGGTAATTAGTATATCAACCCATAGATTTTGCTTAAATATATCAGTAATCCTAAACTTTCAAAATTATACTATTTAGTCCACATATCATAATTATGTCCTTTTCTTTTTTGAATGGTATAATTATGTTGTATTATAGGGTTCGACTGTTTATTTTTTCTTTAAGTGAATTGAAATGTCAAAAGTAATTTTAAAAATAATTACAGTAGGAATTTATCATTAACAATATTTTTGATATTTTATAACCACTAAATGAAAAAAATTAACGGTTGAATCTTATAGAATAATAGAATTATAATACTGAATAATATAATTTTGAAATTCATATCGTTATTTCTCTTTATTTTCTTCTGGATTACGATTTTGCCCATTTCAAATCTGTAGAAATTGATAAGAGCCATGGAGACATGAAGTAGGGTACGTAAGAAGCAGGTGGACCGTTTGCCACAAATTTTGGAGATCATTGCTGCTCAATAGCCTAACAAATTTAGATTGGAGGTGAGTAATCTGTCAATTCAGTTCCTTTCAGATTCAATATTTTTAAAATCCAATCAACCTGTTGCATTTAATGATAGTCCCGTAAATTATTTATTCAATTTTAGTTGATGCTTTTGAAATTTTTGATAGTTTTCTTTAATTTGTGGTTTAAGTTTTTTCAGGGTGTGTGAAATAATAAAATATTTCACAATTTGATTAATAATTGTCGTAATATATATAATTCTCTCAGTTTATTAGTCAACAAATGAATTTTAGTGAGAAATGGAAAGAAAATAATACTATGATTTTTAAGAAATTGTAGAAAACAGGTATCGTATTTAGTAAAGATAAAAAATAAAATTGAAAAAATGATAAATATTTTTAGATAATAGTTTCTAAAAATAAAAAAATGACAAATGAAATATATATTATAGATTATTACAGTAAAAAAGTCATTTATTCAAACATTCCCATATGCTATATTTCAATTGACATAAAAATGTATACTACCACTATTTAAAAAAAAAAAAAATTCAAACATCATAAATTTTTTTAAAAGAAGAAAAATAAGATGACCCACAGCCTGAATTTGAATTCCAAAGTACAGGCATTTGAATCTTGGACTCCAAATACAAATTAAATGTACTGATATAAAAATAATTGCAAGAGAATGTACCATTTTGTTTTTTTTCTTCAAAAAAAAAAAAAAAAAAAAAAAAATTAAGATTTTACCAGTAATAAATATGTCATTTATTCAAACATTCCCAGTATGCTATATTTTCAATTGACAATTAAAAAATATTATACTACCACTTATTTAATAATAAAAAAAAATTCAAACATCATATAATTTTTTTAAAAGAAGAAAAATAATAGAAGTATGACCGTTCACAGCTGAATATTTGTAATTCAAAGTAAGCAGGCATTTGAATTTGGACTCCAAATTACAAATTTAGATGGGTATCTGATATAAAATAATATGCAAGAAGAATGTACCATGTTTGTTTTTTTCTTCAAAAAAAATAAAAAAAAAATATAAAAAGAAATTCATTCTTTAATTAATTTATTCTTGCTGGTTTTGGTGGGCTTTATCTAGACTTCCATGATGGATCACTGATGCGCCATTAAATGCACATGCATTATGTGAATCATTGGATCGCTCTAAAATTATCCATTGAATGGATTTACTATAATCAATAAATATAATTTAATTCTCTTTGTCAGAGACAAGCTTAGGGAGATAAATATTAATAAAAAAAAAAAAAAAAAAAAAAAAATCATTCTTAATTATTATTCTGCTGGTTCATTGTGGGCTTAATCTAGACTTCCCATGATGGATCACTGAGCCCATAAATCACATGCCATTATGTGAATCATTGGACCCAAAAATTATCCATGAAATGGATTTATATAAATCAATAAAATATTAATCCTTGTCAAGACAAGCTTAGGGAGATTAATTATTTGAATTGCCTACAAGTGTGATCGTTTCAAAAATATTTAATATTTAATTTTTTAGCTCGAGGAAAGAACCACCAACGTTTGGTTTATCACCGTAAATTAACCGTGACTGCGATTGATACATGGGTGTATGCATGAACCTGCTGCCAATTTTGGATCACGACAACATCATGTGGAAAACTCGTGACACCAATTCTTGCACTGTCTCTTGTTTTTTTTTTTCTTTTTTTTTATTGACATTAAATTAAATCTTACTCTGTCCTGTCGTGTCCAGTAGGCTTATTAACCATCTATCTATGATGATCAAATCTTCGATAAAGAAAAATATGGAACTACTGATATTGTAATTTTTTTATTGTCCTTGTTCTTGGTATTGTGATTAAAAATTGTAATCTATATGATCGGGATTAAAGTCTTCCAATTGTTCTAGTTAGGTTACTTAATTATGGACAACAACCGCATCTGCTACTTAATATATCTATCTTCTACATGTTTAAATTTCATTCATCAGTATGGAAAATAAGGGACAAGAAGGATGTTTTCATGTGGAGTTTGAGAATGACCGATAAAACCAACAAAAAATGTTTCATCAAACAAAGCAATTTGCATAGATAGTTGATATAACTTCTTGTTATTGTACACTTGATGTATCATTTGATAGCAATATGCTTAGCATTAATTAACAACTAATTATTGTATTCCAAATTAATTAACTTCCATATCTCTCTCACTCTGTACTCTGTACATGCTTAATAAGAAGAACATCTTCAAAATCACTTAAACATACAGCAACTGCTTATATATGCTACCCAATGAAGCTCATTAATTATTTAATTGATCAATTCTCAGTTCTCACCATGAAATGGGAACGCACAAAAGGATGGAGACTCAAAAGTTGGAGGAACCACCACAGAAGACGAAACCTTAAACCTCTTGCTCCTCGAACCTTCATTGCTACAACCACTAATCTCCGGGCTATCAATCCAACCCATCATTTGCTCTGAAAACCCTCCATCACCGATACTAACTTCACCAATATCCGAGCCATCTGAGTCAAGCCCAAGTTGCCTGAACCCGATCCATTCGTTACTACAATCTGAAACACTTGAGGTTTCCCATGAAGAAGGCTCATCTGCTGCATGAGGAACAATGATGCTTGGTTGCACCACTTTCTCTATATTTTTTATATTGACTGGCTTTTGGTATTGTTGGCTTCTAAAATGGAATATGCTAGCAAAAGTGAAGTGATCACTCACTCTATTCTTTGTGGACTTAGTCTCTGTTGTTCTAGCCATAATATTCTGTAAGTTCTTGCTTAATTTAGCCTTCAATGAAGAAAAGCTAAGACCATGCCTTCCATCAGATTCCGACACGAACCCACCATTAGATTGGTTGGAATTAAGATTATTATTATTATTATTATTAACAGAGGAGGCAAAGTTTGTTCGAGCATTTTCTCCACGTAGAGCACGAGCAGCCTCATCGTAGGCTCTAGCAGCTTCTTCAGGCGTATCATATGTTCCAAGCCATAACCTTACTCGTTGAGAAGAGTCTTTTATTTCCGCTACCCATCGTCCTGATGGTCTTTGCCTCACTCCAACAAATCTACGTGCTGAAATTGCTTTGGTTGCTTTGGTGGTGGGAGAAGGGTTCTTGAGTGTTTCCATGACTTAATTAGATAATGATTGAGGTTATAGTTTTAATTAAGTTTGCATGTGGAAACCACATGAGGTGGCTTAGGTTTAGGGTTAGCACTATATATATACTGATGATAATTATTGTTGACATCTCAATTATTTAGGTTTGTTTTTTTATGGTGAAGTTGCGTATTTTTACCATTTTTGCCTATATGAGTTATCCTAATTAGGAAGGATAAAAGCTAAACGGCGTAATTAAAAGCCCATCGGCTTAATGATGGAAAGGTACAGAGGGAAGCAAACAGAAAAAAGTCGGACAAGTTTGTCGGGTTGTAAATGAAGAGCGGATATAGAACGTTGGATCCTCAATTTTAAAATCCGGCGCCAAAGGTAGTTTAATTGGTTGTGACGTGGAAGTTCAATTTGGAATTTATAACTTGGAGATAGAATGATTTGTGGGGTCCATATTACCGTACCGTGTCTTTTCTTCTGGTTTTATTTTCCTCACCAAATTGTCCCTTTTCTACTAATAAAATATTTCCCGTTTGGATTATACTTAAGAGGTATTAACGGTTTGTTATGTGTACATGATTCTACGTATGTATAAATGTACAAATTCGTAGATTAAGGCAATAGTCATCAAAGGGTTGCTGCTGTAGCTATTACTATAAGATTCCCAAAACTTTCATTCCCCCTTTACGAGATGTGAGAATTTTGTCTGTTTGTGTGTGGATTTTATACACAAGACACGTGTGGAATGACACATGTCACATGGTTGAATTACACATGTTACATATCCGTTTTTGTGATTAATCCAGAGAAATGGGAATTGTATAAAAAAAATCTAACGCAACGCCACGGTCTTGTGCCTATAAATTACTCACTCAATTTTGATCTTATTGTAAGCTTCGATGATATCAACTTAAAAATTATAATGACTCAGTCATTATCTTGATTGCATCATTAGGATGGTTGAACCAATCAATCTCAAACGTGTAAGTTTTATTGTCGTATATTAAATTTACAGAATAATAAGTCTAGTTGCTAAGATTTTGTTAAATTTTTTAATTTTTTAATTTTTTTTGTGTGTAAAAAGTAGCTATTTCTTATAAACTGAAATACAAATAAATAAAATTTAATTCAAATCAACCCAAATTTGAACCTGCTAAGCACTGTCCGGTTCCGGTCTAAAGCTCTCAAGTTATAGTAAGTTGAGTTAGCTTAGCTGAGTAGCAAACAAACTTTACCGATCACTAGTAATAAGACAAAAACTAAGGGAATTGTCTGCTCTACCCCTCCCTTCAATGAGCCAATTGTACCCCTTTCTTCATTTCTTATACGCGGCAGTCAGTTACAATTTAATATGGCCCACCATAACAATAATTATAAAGTATGTCCCGTGCCATGTATCGCTGCTCTCGCTCTTAATGAATACTGGTCCTGTAAATTCTTAAATTTCTAATCTTTAAAAAATTCAGTTAAAAAAGGCCAATCATAAGGCAACAAAACCAAATGGTGTATTATTATAAATGAATGCAGAAATTTGAAAAGTAGCTTTTTTTTTTTTTTTTTTAATCTTATTTTGAGTGGATTAGACAAAAAGCTTTGGTAATTAATTACAAAGGGTGGATGTCTTAACAGTACTTTGCTAGTACTATTTCCTAAAAGTTGATTGAAAATGGCATATTGACGTGTGACCTTCGTTGACATTTGGGTACATTTCAAACATATGGAAACATGAGTGCCATTTCGTGTTCTCCACATCTCTGGGACAGCTTCCAAATATAGACAAGGAGACCTGTATGCTAAAATATATGACACAAACATCTCAAATTGGATGGAATAGAAGAGGAAAAGAAACCCAGAAATTGAGGAAATGGCAAAGATGGTTTGAGCCTTAATTTTCCTTTTCCTTTTCTAAAACTTTTCAGGATTATTACAGTTATCTCACAACGAATGGGACTGTCTCAACACCATGTTACAGAGGATTGGAGGAATTTTATGTACAAGCCTACACAAATTCTAAACTATGTTATGTAATTACTCCAACAAGGAAATCATGTAATATAAAATCAAAATGAATCTATTGCTTTGCTGTCTTCTTCAATTGCTTGTTTGTGATTCTGCAGAAACAAGTTGTGGGTTTCCAGGAACACTGACTGCATGCCTCTGGTTACTAGCAGTCCCCAGTGAACGCTCAGGGCCAGGTAATAGCCATTGCTGAGAATGTTCAGCTGAGGTCTCTGGACTATCGATGGATCGGACCATACGACTGAGCGTTGCTTGTCTCACATGTTTTGTTTCCAGAGAATCTTCTACAGGGAACCTACAAACTGGACATGTAGATTGTTTTCTTAGCCAAACATCAATGCAAGACAGATGAAAGTTGTGCCCACATTTTGGCATGATCCGTAATACTTCCTTTTCTTGGTATTCTCCCAAACATATCGAGCACCTATTCAAAAAAGAAATGCTCAGCTTCATCTTTGCTCAATCAATCAGTATAGTAAAGTCAAAGGCATTAGGACTTGCTTCTCTCTCTTCATATGTGGGAATAAGAAAAACACAGTAACAATTACATGAAAACAACAAACATAATAAAAAATGTTTTTAATGGAAAATAGACACAATTTAGGGAAATAGAAATCATATAGTTGATCAGCAAATCAAAGGGTTGCTAGGTGCTTGTTCTGATTGTAGTCTTTTGATGGTCAATTACATGACATTATCATTAAATCAATAACCAACTGTATATGCATTATAAATAGGGCTCTTATATGTTATATACCAAACATAAAGCAAATGACTAAAAGGAATGTAGCTATTGATGCCAATCTGTTTGTAGATAGAACAATTTGTATGTCAAGGCAAAGAAAAATGTAGTTCTTCAAAAAAGAATTTATTAAAGGTGGCAAAACTTACTGTGCATCTTCCACAGAACTAAATGCTTCACGGCTGAACTTCATAGTAGGAATGGCAGCAACCAGCACGGGTTCAAGACCATTAATCCGATGTTCTGGCTGCTGCATAAAATAAAATGGTTAAAAGAATTAAAAAAGAAAAAAAATCTCACAGGAAATTCAGGAAGTTTTGAAATGAGAGATAATAAGCCAAAAAAAAAAAAAAAAAAAAAAAATGTAAAAAAGAAAAAAAAATCCTCACAGGAAATTCAGGAAGTTTGAAAATGAGAAGATAATAAGCCAAAAAAAAAAAAAAAAAAAAAAGAAAATGCTAAATTGCTAAAAAAAAAAAAAAAAAAAAAGAAAAATGCTAATTGCCTATTCCACAAGAGTTTGGCTTTATTATCTATTCAATACCCATTGTAATAGAATTCCTTCATATGCAAAGATAAATCAACACCAGATGAAAATTAAAACTTTCGAATTCTCTCCTATACATCAAATTAATCAAATCAATATGAAAACCGATTGATTGAATAAGTAGCCAGAGTGGCTTATCAAAATTCTAATTAGCCCTCGAGAAGTCCATTTAAAACTAGCAATGGAAAAATTAGGAATTTATCAGCAAGCATAACCAGCTCAATAGACGGAAAAGCAAAGAAAGTTATCAAGCTAACGAAACACAGAGAACAATAAAAATAAAAACCTGTTCAAGGTCAATTCTGGATTCAATCTCGAACATTTGCCTAGATTCGGAAGCTCGAAGCCTACCACAAATAATCCTTGTGCAAACGAACACAATAAAAGTGGCACTCATCCCAAATCCAATAACTGTAGTGATCAAATTCATCCCTGAACCGAACATCTGCCACTATCAAAATCAACAAATATACAAAGAGTCTCAACAACCCAATTGGAAGTCCCGCTTCAAGGCCCGCAAGTTAAAAGACCCACAACCTCAAAAACGAATTTTGATTAGGATTAGGCCAGACAGGGAGACCTAGAGGAAGAGTAAGAAAGACCTGGATCAGGATTCAGGATTCATCGAGAAATGGCTATTCTTCAACAGTCCCAGCGACAAGATGGATGGGAAAAAAATCATAAACAGAGAAGGAAACTGAGAAACCCATACTGAATCTTAATCGCTTTGGGTGGACTCAAAGTTAATTCAAAGAGAAAGGGGGCCATTGGATAGATGGTGAGGATGAAAGGAGCGTCGTGGAAAGAAGTTTTTTCGTTTACTTGCTGTTTGGAATTACATTTGGTGGATAGATCCACAGCGATAGAGGCCCACAAGGGTTGAAATTAAATATGTAGACGGTTGTGATCCACGCACGTAGTCAGTTTAGGCGGCAAAAAGGCTTAAACGGTAAGAGTAGAGGTACCAAAGATCCTTCTACCAATGATGAGTTTTTTAAGGTAAGAGAATCTCCAGGACAAGGTTACTTTGCATCTTTCCTTCTCGTTCTTTTTCTATATTTACTGGTTTTGGATAGCACCAAACCCGTTTACTTTTTTTTCGCAATGATTGGATCCTTTTCTTTGCTGTTCTTTCCCCTTCAGCACATGGTAAAACGAAGTCGTGTGATTGTTCCACGTACACCTGCTGAATCATGATTGGAGGACAGCTCAGGCATTTCTTTTTCATGTTCTATTGCGTTTGGCTGCTCATAAATTGAGAAAAGAAGATGCTTGAAAACTTTAAGAGGGGATTTTGTTCCATCATTCCATGACCCAGGTAACAACTTTGAATTCACTTTTCTTGGTAATCATAGGGATTATTAGTCTATATGATCTCAATAAACACACAAAAATAAAAAGTTCAAATCTTTTTTTTTTCTTTAATATTCAATTTTGGCATTTACCTACTATATACAAATTCAAGTACGCAGACATTTGACCTAACAACAATCCCAAAAGGGAATCAACGATGATGAGCAAGAGAAAGCAGGGTCCTTGATGAGGAACTTTGACGACTATAGTGAAAGAACACCTTCATTTGCTTCAGACACTTTCTTCTCCTAACAAGAAACCTTTTTCTTGAGGGTTTCGATAAGGTCATTGACCTTTCTTTGGTAGATGTTGACGTATCACCTATATCTTCATATATATTCTTGAACAAAAACCATTACAACACAACACAAGGTATCTTGGCTGATTTGTCAGCAACTTTCAACAGTCTCTCTAAGGAATAAAACAAAATGAACTGGCCTTAGGCTTAGCCCCCCAGCCAATCTGTCAGCTACTTAAGACATCCTTAATCCAAGGGAACAAAACGAATTTAAAGTCTCCTTACCACCACCAGGAACGCCTAGAA